TGTGTGTGTGTGTGTGTGTGTGTGTGTGTGTGTGTGTGTGTGTGTGTGTGTGTGTGTGTGTGTGTGTGTGTGTGTTTCTAGCCGTGTTCCAATTGTTTTTTCTCCTGCATGGTAGTGCTCACAAGTAGGCAAAGAAGCAGACAACAGATGGGAGCAGAACTGAATCAGAGTTATGCAGGTCATCCAATTGAGGCACAGAGTGGCGTTTGCTGAGGTGGCGGGTCCTTACGTGGATATGTTTTCCATTTTGATAATCCTATTTCCCCGGTTCGTTTTCTTACCTGAGGTGTGTTCAATTATTACCATCGAGGGGGAATTTTTTTTTTAAATTGATAATAGAGTTTTTCGACCAGATCAAGATATCGTAGAAGAACGTAAAATGATGTCATACATCTGGCAGAGCCTCTAGTCTGGAGCATATATGCCCTGGATTTCATTGAACAGTTATCTCTTCAAAGATTGAAGGTTTAGGATTCAATTAAGCGCCTCAATCTGGATGTGATTTAGACAGAGATGCAGAAAAGGCCGAAAAGCAGATCAACCGCAATTTTCTGCACCTCTCCACAAACACGTCCACATTCAGGTGTTATTATGTTACATCCAATCCTCTTTTGCTAGAGGGACCTCGCATCAGGATCTTGTTCAGAGACAGCTGGATTAATCTGACTTAATCGTTTTTCTTTTCTTCCCAGCTGGGTTACTCCTGACATAAGCAAACCGAAGAGATTCTGTGACCTAAGAAAACAATAATAATAATAATAATAATAATTTTGAGTGTCGTCTCTGTTGGCCTTGCTCCACCTTCCTTAAAAAAATAAATGAAAAAAAAAACTGATCAGAACAGAATCAAGTTCAGACAACAGACACTACAGTTGATCTTAGCCGAAAGGCCGACAAAGGTATATTGCTCTACCTTTCTGACTATAAAGTTAGTATAAACAAATTTAAAAATGAAAAAATTATGTGCCCTTTCTGATCATGCCGTCCCAATCACCTGATGGGTTACGATTCCTCCACCGTTGGCCTTGCTCCAGTGTGCAACACTCCAAATGTATATAGAGCGGAAGGTTGTCCCGATACACTGAAAATGTCAGGTCAGGCAGAATGTACTAGTCCATATTTCTGTCCACATACATGCAGAATGCGGAGTACTGGAGCGATGCCCTATGTGATCAGCATCGGACAGACACCATGATTCACTGCGCACTAGGACTTTCTGGATGCACCTGACCGCAATTGCAGTCCGATTCAGTTTTGACCCTGGAGTAGCTATGAGGTTCAGCCCTCAGTGCGCCCGTGCGTCTGGTACTGCCTGCACACTTCTTCTTTGAATCAAGTCCACAGTGTCACATGTTCAGTTTCGAAAGGGCGAAAAAAACACGTAAATACTGGAACAATGCCCTATGTGATCAGCATCGGACAGACACCATGATTCACTGCGCACTAGGACTTTCTGGATGCACCTGACCGCAATTG